ATTTCCATAATTTCCATAATTTCCATAATTTCCATAATTTCCATAATTTCCATAATTTCCATAATTTCCATAATTTCAATAATTTCCATAACTTTGTAAAATAAATAAATAAATATTTGAAGTTTGTTCTTTTAATAACAATAAACGGATCATTAATATATGATAACGAATTTTAATGTTGTGAAACCATAATCGAAACGATCATGATCCTAATACTCTCGGAGAAATTAAATTAATCGAAACTTAGGATGCATCACTTCGCAGCTGATCATATGCGTTTGATACAACATTATTTGTCTATTAATAGAGACCAAAGTTTACGTATATAGGTATGAAGATTTAGTTAATAATTTTGTAATGATAAATTCATTAGAAATGGTTGAATATGTATCTATGTAGTTCCAGTTCAAAACTATATAATAAGTTAAGTTTAAACTCTATTATTTTAGTACTGTATAGCAGTGTTAGACAATATTCAGCTAAGAATTGTACCCAACCAGATGCTAACTAAAGATACTTGTGAAATTAAACCAGAATGGTGAAATAATTTCACCACTATTGGTGAAATAATTTCATCACTATTGGTGAAATAATTTTATTACTATTGGTGAAATTGGTGAAATAATTCATCACTATTGGTGAAATTGGTGGAATTTGATGAAATTTGGTGAAATTTGGTACAATTAATTTTACCAATGTCATCTCATAATAGACATTGATTCGAACTAGTGATTCAACTGTTATTATATAGTAATATATATTTAGTATATACTATATAATTCAGACAGAAGGATTTAATATTTCTATTTAACTTTAACGTTTGGATTTGAAATTTTACCGATGGTTTAATATTCCACCGATTGTACGTATGAGAACTTTGCTAAGTTTGCTGACTTTTGCACTTCGAATTTGATTAGTTCAAGGGATTATCTGAATATGCAAATGTATGCAGGGTATAGTCGGATTTAAGCCCGAAATCAACTTTTACTAATTAGGTAAATTCTATTATATGTAAATTTGCTAAATACATACGTTTGTGCATATCTGGTATGTACATACGTATCAGTATTGTCATTGGACAAAAAAAGAAATATTATCTTACAGTATTTTATTAAAGTATCTTTTTGATTTAAATAAAATTAGTAAAGTAGCAGACATCTAATTTTATTAAACTACATGAAAGTATTAACATGCTTAAACAGCAAAGTGGACATGGCCTTGAGGTACGTACTTACGTACAGATACTTTCAAATCTATTATTCAGTTGAACTACAGCATACATAGGGGTAGTAAATTATTAATGCAAATAGATGATCGTTGACCAAATTATTAAAATAGTTTCAAGAAAAAAAAAATTCTTACAGTTAGATGTAACACTTTATTAGAAAGAAATAATAAAACACACGGTTAAACAGTTCATAAATTTCATAGTAAACCTAATTTATAAGTTCATAAGTTCATAAGATTCCCTTGAATTTATCAATTCTTTTAAACCCAGATGATAAACCCAGATGATAAATATAAATCACTTAAAAGAGCAATAATAAAATAATTAGAATTAGAAGAATAATAGTTCAGAGATAATCTTGTAAATATAAATCCTGCAAATCAACACCAATTCTCTCATTTGGTAATCCCTGTGAAAGATTTTGAAACATACAATTGTCATAAAATATTTGTTCCACTGGATATTGCGCAGTTAAGAAATTTAAATTCCAATCAATTTCTTCACTTGTAATATAATTCAAATTGTTTGATGAATGTACTTCGGAATACGCAATATTATAATCGTTATTAATAAGTTCAGGTGTTGTTGTACTTGTGAAGTTAGAATTTGGAGTAACTGTAAAAGCAGATTCAGTAACCCAAGGTGTATCTTCGGATGTTCTAAGCTTTGATTTTTCCTTTGGTTGACTAGCTTTTATAGTTTCTGGTGATATAGAAACAAATTCATATACAATATTATTTGCAGATTCTTTTGTTTTTGAATTTCCAATATTTCCATTTTTAGACCTCGACTTTTCTTTCTTTATATTCACATTTCCTTTCTCTTTACCACTATTCTCACGTTCTTTATTATTTTCTTTTCTTAAATGATTAATATTTTTAAGTAACCGTGTACTTGAATCCTCATCTTTTTTCTTCTTCATAAATGGACATTTCGCATTTCTCCAAATAACTTTTGATCTACCTATCTTTGATGAATTATTCTTTCTTAATTGTTCCAATTCATCTTTGACCTGTTTGGCCATGCATTTATATGTTTCTTTAACGAATTCTGGTTCTGAATTCCAACAAATACTAACAAATTTTGAAAATTCTGTCATTTTTAAATGCGATTTTATACCATAATCTTTTGGTTCCCTTTCATTACCAATTAAAGAAGATGATGAGTTGGAAGTTAAATGCATTAAATTTGATAAATGTTCTAAAAATGCCTTGCGATAAATTAAAAAAGCATTCGGGCCTTTTAAACTTATTTGAGTTGGATCTCTTTTAGAGATTATATCGGATACTTTAATCATTGGTGGAAATGGTGGTTTTATAAAATGAGTAGACATATCTAACGAAGGAAATTTTGTTGTGTTTTGTGATTTTTCTACGATTTCACCGGAAAGCGAATTTTGAGACGAAATAGAATTGAGAAACATAGAAGATTGAGATAACATTGATCGAAATTTATATAGTTTTTTTTTTTTCGTGAAAAATGGTATTTACGAAGGTATTTACGAAGTGATATTTATTTTCGTATATTTAAATTTTTATAGACAGGGCTCATATAATAATAATAATAAAGGTAATAATAAATATATCTATTCCCTTTGTTTTTTTTTTTTGGTTTTACCGAAAACAAATATATACACACGATATTACTACGCAGTAGCAATATCGCCAGAAGAGACAGACGTGAAGTTTATATAATTTTTTTAAAAAAATTCCCATATAATATATGCTATTTACGTATGACGGCAAAACCATGTGAAAAATTGAACCAATATATAATTATTCAACGAATCATTTAATTCCCGTAGAGTAAATATTCTAAAAAAAAAGTAAATCTGTCTTTAAAAAAACAAAATTGCTACAATTGATCTGGTTTCGGCAAGCACAAATAACAAAGAAAAGCAAGGATAACAATATAGTCTGCGCGTTCCTCGTGACCATTATCACTTTCTTAACTGGCTGTACAACTCAATTTCATCATTATACACATTAATTTACGTGCCACTATATGTCACTAGCAGATTATACTTCCTTTTTTAAAAAGAAAAAACGTAAACGCGTCAATATATGTAAAAGTTTATAATTTTTATTTGTCATGTTTTTATGCTCTATATAATCATATCTTACACATCTCTCCTTAAAAAAAGTGTGCCGTATCTCACATCTCGATGATTCGCGTACAAATTATAGATCGCATTACATGACGTAAAAAAAAAAACTTTTATATTGTATAATATTATAGTTTGTATATAATAATAGGTATAATAGCTTATAAAAATCATCTTTAAGGCAATGAAAAAATATTACGTAAGATTATTTTCTTATATTTTATTAGAAGTTATATTCGCTTCCTCCCAAGCAAGACATTTCAATTACCAATCAAATTTTTTATATTGTATAGGATTTGTATAATAATATCTTAGTACTTGTAAACAATTCAACGGGAATTTCCTAAAGTATATTATAACGATAATGATAAACACAGATCTTCCATAACCCCAAATTAAGGTAAACAAATCAAATTTCCAAATTTGATCCAATTCCTATAATTCTTATCAGATATGTATAATCAACTATGTATGCGACATTTTGGTATCTTGCTGATATTGGGATAACATATGGTCATACTAGAAAACTAGAAAACTAGAAGAACTAGAGGATGTAAATTAGGACACAACAAATAACGTTATATAAATATGTATGCATGTAACGTTTTGAAGAAAAATAATAAATTAACTTTAATTGGTGAACTATCTATAATTAGAAATGTAATCCGGCACCTCCGAATTGGTTCTGCTGTTTTTTTTTTCCCTAAGATCTTTCATTTTCATATTATTATTCTTGTGCCATCATAACATCAAGTGCATAAAGCGAATACTACTACTACTATTACTATTAACAACAACAAGAGCGAAAGAATTTGATTGTACATACTGTATGAATATGAACAAATCAGCAATGGGTTGATATATACACTATGTTTAAGTGCGATTATTTATGTGACATTCATTTACTATGTGCACCGTGCCAAGGTACCGTATTTAATACATATTAAATGCGTCAATGAAATCACATGATCACATCACTATTCGTTACCATTTGATTATTCATCGCAGATATGACGACTGCATACATGCTTTTTGATTCGTAACATCGGTAATCTTACAGGATGCGATGCTGCTTATCTTGACAAATAACTGTTATACCGATAAATGTTATATTCTTTAATTTTTTCGTGTAACGATGAAAATCTTGTTTTCAAAGTTTCGAGCATAATATGTCACATTTTAATTCGAATTCATTACATTAAAAAAGTATATGATGTGATTAAAGAAGTATGTGAACTTTTGTCACATGTTGTACTTTTTATATAATTATCATAATCCGATTACGCGATTTTTTTATCTCATATATTTTCCGATGCGGGTACTTTACACCGTCTTAAGTCTGGTACTCTGTTGATCGTCGTAAAACACAACGGCCAAACATTTACAATGAAAGTGTATGCTATGAATAACGAAATGATTGTATAAATATTCGTGTATATGCTATATGCTATATGCTATATGGTATATGCTATATGCTATTTATGGATCGCGATCAGTCATACGTATGAATTCGTTGAATTCATTTTTATATACCGATAGAAAAAAAAACTTTTATTGTTAGGTGTGTAGTAGAAGTGTGATCTTGTCCGCAACTATTTATAGTCAATTTATTTCAATTTATTTGGTTTGTCTGTTTCTATTTTTAGCTAATGGCTTTTTTTGTTCCGGACATTTAACAATATCTGTTGTCTTAGTTTAATATTTACTAGTTGAACAACAAACTCAGGACTATGTTTGAGTTCACAAAATCGTCAGCCTATCCTAATAATACACAAGTTATTGTTTGCTTCATTGTAATCCTTTAACTATTTTCCCTGTATGTACTTAAGTTTTGCCTCCTACGTTCTGATACATATAGACGTAATTTCTCCTTATATTTCTATATGCATATTCGTCAAAAAAAATACTATATAGTTGAATCATTTCATCACCGGAGCCTAGCGGAGATTTTTTTTACTTTTATGATTATGCATCTCGATATGTGTTTCCTTTGTTACACGTGACCTCCGTTACACGTTGAACTTCCTGGCTTTCTCCTTACCTATCTCATTTCTCTATAGAGAATATTCGATAATAGGAAGTTTCGAATGTTTACTTATTAAAACTTTGCCGGTAAACTTTGTGTGTAATATCGATTTGCAATGTGTAATATCGGTTTGTGATTAATTTATTTATGGCTTTTATGTTCACGTGATGACTTATATCAAAGAATTAATTAATAAATACGTACGTATTAAATATTTTTAAATATAATTGTTATTGATGACATTTTTTGTACGTACGTACAACTCTGAAAATTTTCAATGAACTCATAAAAGTTGAAATTACGTTGGTCTATTGTTATAATTGGAAGCTATTATTATAATCTTTTATGTCAAGTTGGCCATTTTTTCCCCGTTTTTTTTTTTTTTTTTTTTAGTTTAACAAACTGCTTATCTAAAAACATTTGGACATAACTTATGTTAAGTAATTTAGAGTTTAATTCAATCTCAATATATATATTAGTGAGTTTCATATAATGTTTGATGCAGTCAGTGATTGTTAAACATTTTGACAAATAAACCAGCATTTTTGCGTCATTGTATCAAACTATGGATAAAGAATTATCACAAAATTACCAACTATAAATGGGTAATATTCATTTAAAATTTTAGGACGTACGTACGTATACAGTAATTAATATAATTTCGACATTTTATTAATATAAATTTTGTTATATAAATACTATATATAAACATTTTTGTTACTTTTGTTACTTTTGTTATTGAATTTATTTTAATTTAAACTATTTAAAATAATTTTAATTTTTAGAAAACTAATTTCACCAATTTTGACATTAATTAATTTCACCAATTTTGACATTAATTAATTTCACCAATTTTTTCTATTAAGAAAGGCATCACGTCAGGTATTAAGATTTGGTGTAGTGTAACATGGTCAGGGCAGTTTCAAAAACAAAAACTTTTTCATTTGCAAAAAAAAAAATCACTTATTTTCAAAAAATTTATATAATAATTCACTTTATTTTTATACTCCAAAAAAAAAAAAAAAAAGTTCCTTGGGCTATTTTAATATATATAACGCCAATATCTAAAATTTGATGTAATTGCTTAACTCTAACAAAACCGAACTCAATGAAAGTTTTTATCACGTGAATGTAAAATTTCTGAATAAAGTTGACCAATACAATTAAATTCTTATGATCGACGATTATTGCACTCCACATTTAACAGTTAAAAATTTTACGTATTACGTACGTATCAGTATTACATACGTATCAGTATTACATACCTACATACGTTACGTACGTACGTAAGTGGTTTCGGTATAATATTTGCCGAAAATTATGTCATAAAAAAAAAAGGATTGTAATGTTGTCATATTAATAAGTTAGTTGCATTGCCATGAACATAGTTGCTGTACAAAAAAATGTGTGGCAATTCGATTCACAATAAGTGTAATTTAGTCAATGATTTTTAAATTATTAATTTAATTCTTTTTTGATTACAAAAAGAACTATAATTTTACTAAATATAGTAAGTATTTGCGGTTTTGTTAGTATAATTTTGAATATATAGTTTTTAATTGAATTTTTTTATTGCTACAGTACCAGTCAGAAAAAAGCATACGTACGCACATACGTACAATATCGGTTATTTTTTTAAAAGCTTCAAATTTGAAAGTTTTAAAATTATATAATGAATTGCTGTACAATTGGTCAATGTTTATATAATTAATTTTGATTGGTTAATAAATAATAATAGTTACAGTCTGATCTCAATATAGTTATTTTTGATATAGTTATAAAGGATTTTTTTGTTTTTTTTTCTATTAAACTAGTCTCTTTAAGGTTGAAGTTTTTTATTTAGTATTATAAAACATAGGAACTTATAGTCAAAGCCTCAATAGAGTTACCTTTACATTAAAGAGTATAACTAATTATGTGTATATTTTTAATGTCTAATTTAAGGGTAAAGGATACTATATTGAAATTATATATAAACTCAATAATAAAATTTTTTTATATTTAATTTTATAAAAAATTAAATTAAGTAAACTAATATTAATTTATAAAAAAAATTTGTAAAGCAAGTCTTTCTAATTTTAATGATAGTAAAATTATTAAATTTGATTAAAAACTTAGTAAGATATAATTTTTTAAATATTAAGTATAAAAATTTATTAATTAAATTAACTTATAAAATTACATAAATTAACTAATCAAATTTAGTACTTTTGTACTACTTAGAAAATTTTGAGTCATCTTAAAAAAACTTTGTAACATATATAAGTAAATATAATCATAGTTCAAAATTTTACTATAATAGATAAATTAT